ATCATTTCAGAATCGAAATGGCATCAAGTTTATAAGAAAGCACCGTTCGTCATGTTGTTTGTTTGCAGTGATGAACAATTTTCAGTCATTTGGCAGAATAGCTTGAAATCCCAAGTCCAGATCCAGTCCTACAAAGGGACCCATCCTTTCCTTCCCCACAGGCAGGTAGAGAGAGCTGTCCAGAGCAGATCTGGTGAGAATTGCATCAGCACGGGGAAGGGCCACACTTCTTGGGTGTTACTGTGCAAGTGAAATTGTTTTTAAAACTCTGTAATTATTTGACATCATTGTGGTTTTAATTCTTCTCCAAACCCAAACTTTAAAAATGCAGAATTCTCGATGGTTGACTACATTTGGGGGTGGGAGGGGGACGTTCTTCTAATGAAATTGTCCCTCCGTGGTTCATCCAAGTACTAAATTTCCCAGCAAATTTCTCAAGTGATCTGCAGATGTATTTTGGAGAAAGGTGGAATAACACTACCTTATTTAATAACTAACTACTCATCAACAAAGGAGTTCTGGTAGCCCATTAGTTAAGGCATTGGGCTTCTAACCAAAAGATTGGTGGTTCAAACCCACCAGCTGCTCTGTGGGAGACAGATGAGGCAGTCTGTTTCCATAAAGATTTACATCCTTGGAAGCCCTATGGGGCAGTTCTACTCTGTCCTACAGGGTTGCTATGTGTCGGAATTGACTCAATGACAGTGGGTTTGGTCATTAACAAAGCTTTAAATGGCTATTCTTTTTCTTTCAAAACTTAAAATAGCTTTATTGATTTTATGATATAAAATATAATACTTGCTCATTAAAAAAATCTAGACAACACAGAAAAAATAGAGAATGAGCCATCGAATAAATAACATTTTGAATCCAAAGTAAGATAAAGAAAATAACCCCGTAAGAATGTTACTCTAGTTGAATGACAGTGCATTTCAATGGAAGTGTAAATGATGTATAGTCTCTTAAAGTTCTTAGCTCAGAATATTTTAAAAATTACAGTTGGAATATGATCGGTACAATTTTGGCAAAATTGTATCTTCAGCTCTACACGGGATTTTATATTATAAGAATAGTAGCTTCGGACCATGAACAGACAATTGATGGTGACAAGAAACTCCTGGGTATGTGCTTTGCAGTATCGTGTGCAACTGACATTAGCAATTCTGTTAACAAAGGTAACTTAGTTAAGCTTTCGTAAAATC